ATCAGCCAAAATTGAATTTGGTTGTCAGCCAATTTATATTCCTAAAAGTCTCTTGAGATCAAGTTTCAAAGCCAAAAACAAAAGTGATGATCCACATGCATTTAGGATTTGATGTTGGAAGCTTCTTTCAAATGCCACAGCTAAACAGCAACAGGGGTTTGTTTTAGGAATGACTCATGGGACCCTGCTAACCACATCCATATTGCAACATGATTTAAGATTCTTAGACACCCTTACCTTTCACCTGCCCTGCTAACTTGGGTGCCATGAAAGCAGAATGGTTGACATTTGGAAACTGTACTCATACCAGCTCAAGAAATAAACATCTAAGTGAAAACTCTGCTTATTCCAAACTCCTGCTTTCTGAAATCTAAGAGAAGATAAATGAAACACTAGGAAACATAGAACACGTTGCTAATACACAGAAAATGAGAGGATGGCTAGTGTTCCAAATGGCTTTTTGTTTTCTGTTTAATGCAGATGCTGACAGAGAAAGGAATTTTTTTTCCCTCTTTATTGCATTTGAGTTTTTAAGGTCACAATTGGTGAGGGATAGTGAAATTTAGCATACAAGTGGTGAAAAAATGAGAAAGATGAATAAGGGTAGTTATTTGGATTTCTAAATATACTGTGAGAAGAAACTGTCACAGATAGACCTTTCTACTTTCCTGCCAGTACCTTATACATACTGAGTATATGTTCTACCCATGAACTATACCTTCAACTCCTCTTTTTGTGCTTTTTTGTTTTTGGTCATAGGTTTTGATAGATGGATATGAAAACTACAACTGGGTTCCTAGAGAGTTCATGGTTCCAATCCTGGGCAATGTGAAAATGATACAAAACATTAAGGCAAAATACTTGCCTGTTGGTATATAAATATAATTAAAGGTAAAAAAAATCTTGTGTTCAAAGACTCTAGGTTAACCTCCACAGATATTCATCAATTGTGGTTTAGATGCCTCAGTAGTTGTATTAATTCAAGGAGATTCTGAAATAGGAATCTGAAGATACATTTTCAGTTTAGCTGCAAAAATTCCTAGCTTACAATCAAGTAGCTTAGGCTTGGAGCAGTTTGTCTATGTACTGTAATTAGTATTCTTAAGTCTTGTAAAAGTCCTCCACACATATTTTGTGATTAGAATGAGGTCCCTTTTTCACGTTTTAGGATCTTGGAGACAGAACACTTTTGACTTTTATGGGTGAGTGAGATGCTGTGAACTACTTATCCACTAAAAACATGGAAATGATATCAGAGGAACTACAGTCAGTTTGAGAGACATGGGCAGGATGAAACAAAAATCAGTGATGCTGACTACAAGTTGGGAGCCAATCAGATATAAATCTGAAATATTATATGGCACTCAATCAGAAAGTTCAATATGATTTAGGACCGTTTAAGAAATGAGATTATATAACAAACAAGGGCAAAATAGAATGCCTTAACCTGGAATATTGAACCTTGAGACTGGAAAGAAACAAGTAACTGGAGAGAATCCAGAGAAGAACATGAACAATGATGGCTTTAAAGCAAAATATGAACTTTATAGTGTAGCCAAACCACAGAGTCAGACCCAAGGGGCATGATAAAAATCTACAAATAACTTGGGGGTCTAAACACCAAGGGTAAAGAGGAATTTTGGCTGGAGATATAAAAAATTTCAAGGGATAAAGTTAAGGAAAGGAAAATTTAGGTTAAGCATCAGAATATATCCTTTGATGGTAAGATGTTTGTATTTGTAGAATAGACTCTCAAGAAAATATAAAAAATTACTGATGAGTTTTCTAGGATCCCAGATAAGAGGATGTCAGACCAAGGATTCTAGAACTTTCACTGAAATATTCTTGGCCCTTGACCAGATGGAATAGATAACATCAGTTTTTTTAAACCCTGAATTACTCTGATAATTATGATGGGAATGGATAGCAAACAGAGTGTTCTGCTCTTTAGTAAACTCTATCCCAAGGCTTTAATTGAGGCTCTGAGAACAAAAAACCATAAACAAGCATGGCACTACTCTCAACAGCAAATGCTCTAATAATGAAGCAAAGCCTTAGAGATCTGTTTTGTTTTAAACACACACACACACACACACACACACACACACATATTTTTAAAACCATTTATTTCTAGACTCCCAGTTATGTTGCTTCTGAAGCTAGCTGATGAATTATGATTCTGGGTATCAATGTAACACAATCACCAGCTTTTGAAATTGGTAAGTAAAACACATAGGTCTTCCTTAAATGAATTTGGCATAACCTGGCAGTCAATCAGAAAGGGTAATATGAGTTGAGTCTATATAAGCAAAAGGATTATATAACAAAATAAAATAGAACACCCTGCCTGAAAATGAATTAATATGCTGTAAGCCATGATGACTGCAATATAAATCTAATAGCAACCCGGTTGAAAAGCAAAATAGTTCTTAAAATACAAAAATTAAAAAATGAAAATTCAAATAAATTTCTTACAAAATCTTTCCAGAAGAGCCATAACTTTTCTACCTGGGTTTTAAAAAGCACACATACTTACACTGGATGATTATTTTTAAAGAAGCTTCAGCTTAATATAATGATTATAGCCACTTGCTGCCCAAGGACGTTTCAATCAAGGATGGATGGAATGTACCATACATATTCCCATATGATATTAATGAAGCTGAAAAACTCCTGTTGCCTACTGATGTCCTAGCTGTTGTGATGTCATAGTACAATCTATTACATGTTTGTGGTGATGTAGGTATGAACAAACCTGTCCTGTTTTTAGTATAAATAAAACCACAATTATATACAGTACATAATACTTGATAATTTTAAGTGACTATGTTAGGGGTTTATATATTTACTTTTATTATTATTTTAGAGTATATTTCTTTTTATAAAAAGCAATTCAATGTAAAATAGTATTCTGTGTTACACTTGCCTCAGCCTCATACATCTCACGTTTATTGTATCTATTGGTTGCATTAAATCCATGTTGAATGACTGATCTATACCATGTAGGCTTATTTAAATATACTTTATGATGCTCACACAACAATAAAATTGCCTATCAATGTACTTCTTAAACCATGTCCATTGTTACAACACACATGAATGTATTTAAAACAGTTTATCTGTTGTTCCTGACCATGAAGCAAGTTCCAGGCTAATGGGGGGTGTCAAGATCCATTGGAAACAAGATGATGAATTAACTGCCATATGTCTGTTCCCAGCCTTGGGAGTTCCAATAAAAGAGTTCCTCTGCTCATCCATGACCAAGAATAAATGCCTTTGTGCCTTCAGGGCTTTCATATGAGCCCTCCATAATCATGGCAGGGTTGCATTTTCAATCCCATATTCATCCTAGGGGCTTACAGAAATAGAATTTATATTAATTATAAATTACATTTGCACAATTACCTTGAATTATAAGTGGTCCTGTGTGAAATATGACTGTTAACCATCAACTTACAATTCCAAAATTCAAGGAGGCATAACCAGACTATGATATCCCAGTAGTGCACACTACAATAATTTTTTTTAAAGACCCACCCACTTTTACTTCTAATGTGATTTGTTTTAGGAAGGAGGAAAGCCAAACATCTCCAATCCCCCAAAGATAATTTGGTTTGTGTAGTCAGGCAGGGCTGTAAGGTTTTAAATTCTCTGCCTGTTAGTAGCACACTTGATTGACAGTCACTGAAATTACTTCGAAGGTTTAGGATAAGAAGAAATGGACAGCTGTGGGAGAGGGTGATGGGAAATTAGAATCTCATTGTCTGTTGTCTTCAAGAAATCTACAGCACATTGGCACTCAAGGAAGGAAATCCCCAGTGCTGACTTTCCCCTGCATTCACAAAAAACAAGTGTAGCCTACAGCTGTTCTCTACAGCCATACTCAGGTGCCACACACACTTCTGGAGGCAATAATTTCTTCTGCTATAATAAGATTTCATGACATGCCTCCTCCCAGGTAGTCCAACACTTAGGAACACCAAACATGCTTTTTAAAAAGTGAGTAAATTATCTGCCCTCGAAAGAGTCATAGAGAATAATGGAAGTCTTTAAAAATCAGACAATTCTAGTATATACACCAGACGAATGTTTTTGTCAAGCACCTGAATTTATAACTTAATTGTAAGATTCTTTTCTTAATAAAAGAAATGGTAAAGTCACCTTTCTATTTAAATAAAATTCTCTTCACCCCAAAGTGGTGAAAGATCACACACACACACACACACACACACACACACACACACACACTCACTCACACACACACACACACACACCATGCAGGCATTTCCAAAGTCCTGTCTACTCTTTGTTGAGATGGTTATAAAATGCCTTCCAAAACAAAAAAGTGTTGCATCAAAAAGCCCTACACGGGGCAGTCAAGGTTTGGGGCTTTGCTTTGCAGATTGTAGAGGTCGGACAGCAGAAGAAACTATACCCAAACATTTCCAAGCCAGGAATATTGTTTTGGCGGCGTTTTCCTGCTACCCAGGACTGTGGTTGCTGTGCGCTGCGCTGTCATACCCGTGTGGAACCTGGTGATTGATGACTTTGTCAGCTCCAATCTCCTTGAAATCTGGGACGACGGCGCAGGACCTAGCGTCTGTCCTGTCGGGCTTCACTCACCACTCCTCCTAGAGTACATTTTCAGCACGTGTTCACGACCCTTACGTGGGGTGGACTTCTTCGGCTACACTTCCCTTAGTAAGTCCCCTCCAGTCCAATAATCGGCAGTCACAGCATTTGAACTACATCTTTATCCTTTTATAAAACAAAAACAGCAGGGATGGAGGCAGGAGAGAAAGGGCAGGAGATTTAACTCCAACTTCAGAGCAACCTTCTGGGCTGCCCATCTGACACCAGTGGGTGGGGTGCAATCTGACACTTCTCTTCCTTTCCAGAAACGTGAGTGGAGCTGGCGCTCCCTTCAGTCTGTGGGGGAAGGGAGACGGGGTGGGGGTGGGTGGGAGAAGGTCTGCATTTCCGTCCTCACGACTTTCTCCCCGGGAGACCACGTATTAGTGCTAGCTGCTTGCTCAGTGCGTTGCTCCCAGGTTTGGCGTCTGGAAATCCTCACGTCTTGCTTTCTCCTGCTCCTGGCTCCGCCCCGGCTCCAGACCCTGCGTTCCTCTGGCGGTACGCGTCCCAGCCACCTCCTTTCCGCCGCCTCCAGCACGAGCGTGCGGGGACATCTCCACGCCTGCCCTGGGCCCACGGCTGGCTGTGAATATCAAGTGTCGCTCTACAGTGGAACATGGGCACTGGCTTCTGAGGCTGTCTCTGGAGCTCCCCCCTTTCCGAATAGCGCTGAGGGCAGCGGGGAATTCTCTACGGTCATAGTCACTGAGCCCTTGGAAGGCCCTGGGCGCAGCGCGCTGGGTGTCCCACTTTGCAGCAAGCCCAAGATCCCGCAGGAACCTTGGGCTTGGAGACACTCTTGAGCATTCCCAGTAGGAAGAGCAGGCGCAGCAACCAAGAGGAGCCCAAAAGCACAGCCTCCAGCTCCAGTGCACCGTGAGGGTTCCCTGAAGGCGCAGCTGGGGCGCTCAGCTCCGGGGCGGGAGGAAGATCACACCTCTTGGTGAGCGCAGCAGACGCGCCCTGGCGCACACCCAGGCCTCCTCCCCAGCCCTCAGGACAGTCCTGTGGCCACGAGGAGGAGCTTGCTGGAGACTTAGAGGTTGTCCAGAGCTAGCGAGCGGGAGCGCCTAGTCTCCCGCCTGGTTTCGAAGGGGGAGTGGCGCTGGCGGGCTGGAGCTGGGAACCAAGCAAACGCTGGACCTTCCTCTTCTTCCTTACCATCTTTGCTACTGGGGCTCCACGGGAGGATTCTAAAGGTTTCAGGAGGGACCTGGACCCTTTTTTCCTAGAAGGCTGGTGATGGATCTCCAGCTTCTGTCCGGGCAGGAGCACTTGGAGTGCGCTGGTGGTGCGTGAACCCGGCACTGCCCTCCACCGCCCTCAACCAGTCCGTCCTGGCAGCTTTTCCCCAGCTGCCTTCCTTTCCTAGCCTAAAACCTCCAACATTCCAGGAGGGAGAGAGAAGGTGGCCCTCGGGCACAGCCCCTGGAGATGTCCGCCCAGAGCCTGCTCCACAGCGTTTTTTCTTGCTCTTCACCCGCCTCGGGCGGTGCAGCCTCAGCCAAGGGCTTCTCCAAGAGGAAGCTGCGACAGACCCGCAGCCTGGACCCAGCCCTGATCGGAGGCTCCAGGGGCGAAACAGTCACAGAGGGCGGTGCGCGGGGGTCCATAACAGGCCGCCTTTACTCCCCGCAACCCCTAGCGGAGGGTCTTTGCCCCCGCTCGGCATCTTCTGCCAGGAGCCAGCCATCCCGGACCACCAGGCTCCCGCAACCCAGACCTCTTTGCTCGTCCTTCTCCATGCCCAGCACCCCGCAGGAGAAGTCCCCTTCGGGCAGCTTCCACTTTGACTACGAGGTCCCCTTGGGTCGCGGTGGTCTCAAGAAGAGTGCGGCCTGGGACTTGCCTTCTGTCCTGGCTGGGCCGGTCAGTGGCCGCAGCTCTGCCAGCATCCTCTGCTCCTCTGGGGGAGGCCCCAATGGCATCTTCACTTCTCCCAGGAGGTGGCTTCAGCAGAGGAAGTTCCAGTCTCCACCCAACAGTCGTGGCCACCCCTACATCGTGTGGAAGTCTGAGGTAGGGACCAACGCCATGCGTCCTCAGGGCCCAAAGCTGGATGCCACAGGCAGTTCTAGGCCACTGCCTTTAATTCCATCCCATTTCCAGAGCCAGGCAGCAGCTGAGGGGTTTGCATGGTGTAACTGTTTCTACTTAGGCTGATTAAATGGTGCCTGGAAATGGGACATCCTTAGTGGTCACTCACCACACATGTGTCCTGTAGGATTCCTTGGCTCTTCTTTGGAGCAGTCAAGGGAGCTGGAGGAAGAGATGGTCTTCTGATTTCCAGTTTGTGCTACAGGCAAAGGATTGTATTATCCCTTCACTCCATGCTGATATTTTTTGGAACTCGAAAGATCTACTGCTGTTTGTAATGATTGGATGAAATATATTTTGATTAATGTCTGCCATCGGCTGTTCTGTAGAATTTAGGAACATTATTCTGAAAGATGTTATTGATTATGTGTTTGGGTGGCAGTGTGGAGTAACTACTAGGATTCTCTAGTTTTGATTTCTTTTCCCTAAAGGTGTAATTTCAGAAATATATGATACTGAATAGTTTCTCTGCTTAGGGGTATGAAATATCACAGAAATATGCCCAAATTCCACTAAGGACAATTAGTAGTTAGTGGAATAGACATGAATCAGGAATCAATAATAAATAGGGAACTTGGAGTTATTTGATACTCTTAAAATGTTCATTCTCTGGTTGAGTGGAGAATAGAGCTAGCTATTGGGAAACTGTGGTTGATGGGTACTTGGAAAGCAGCATGCTTTTAGAGAATAAATAGTAGTTGGTTTAAAAATGACCAACTCTGATTCCTTTCAGTCCACAAACTCTATAGGTTTGCCCCAGATCTGGTTCCATAAGGGAAGGAAGATCCTGTCAGTTGTAATTAAATATTTTAAAGCACAGTTTGCATTACAGAAATGAAATTAAATACAATGTAATTGTTGGAGATTTAGGCTAAATAAAGGAGACACAACCAAGCAAAATTGCATCCAAGTTCATACCCAGTTCTATTAACATGAGATAACTTAGATTTCAGCTTTAATAGACCACCTTAGAAAAATGAGCATTATGTATCAGAAATATTAGCATCACATATTATTAATGTTAGTTACTGTGTCAGTGTAACTGCTGCTGTTGCTGAGAGGATTATGGATTGCAAAAAACTAACAAGCTTGCTAACTGTGCTGCCCATTTTGTTGAGGAAAAGAGATAGTTGAAAGAAAAATTGAGACAGAATAGATGTTATCTCCAAGCCAGTATTAGAGGACCAAAAACTGAAATGTTGAACTCTTGGTTTCTAAGGGAAGCTGGATTCCTGCTCTGTTTCAGAAGCACATTTTGTCAGATTAATCTATAGGAGTTTAGAGCAAGAGAGAAATGCAAAAACAAACCAATATAAGCTAGTCACTGACATTTCTGTTTAAAATCAATTACATCATTAAGAATGTTCCTAATTTTTCTTTGCAAATGTGTATATTTGGAATATGATATATAGACACAGATATTGTTCATTGCTATTATGACCAAAAACCATTTGATCATAGATGATGCCACTTGTTGCAAATTATGAACCCCCTTGTTATAAATTATCTTTTTTACCTATTAAAATCTCATAATTGATGGATGTGTATCTGAACAACAATACTGGATGACTCCTGACTGTTCCATATAGTGTTGGACCATCTGCATGGAGCTCATCTACCATATTTTTACCTTTTTGCAGTGGTTAAAACTAAGTACATAGCCATCTAGCAAAAGAACAAAATTTTCTCATAAAAGGTTTATATGTGTATGTGTGTGTGTTTGTGTGTATGTGTGTGTGTGTGTGGAGGCAGTTAAGCAGAAATCCCTTTATGTTTCAGGCAGATATGGAGTGATTTGACAGAATTCTGGCATGAAGGTCCAACACTGGTTATGTTTAGTAGAGGCCAAGATATCCTAACATAACCTCTGGGTCTGGAATTTAAAGGCCTGGATTACCTTTCAAAGGTTTAGCGCCCTGGAATCTTCTCAAAAACCAAGAAATTCATCCTATTGGGCACTGTTTGTCCTTCTCACTTGCAAACAAGCTGTGACTTTTGTCCTAAAAGAGAATCTTTACTAATGATGTCAAATCTGCAGCAAATAAGTCCCTTGCAATGTTGCTTAGAGGCCCTAGAGGGGAGATCTGGTTCATACAGATATGATTCTTACAATTTTCTTGGTTTTCTGGCTCAGGGTTTCTCAGCCTTGACACTATTGACATATGAGTGATTCTTTGTCATTGGGGATGTCTTGGATATTATAGGATGTTGAGTAGCATCCCTGACCTCTACCCACTAGATGCCAGTAGCACTCTTCTTTACCAGTATGACAATGAAAAATGTATCTAGATACTGCTAAATATCCTCTGGGGATGAAAATCACCCAAGTTGAGAACAGCTGTGCTAGTGAGGTTGAATACAACACCCTATGCTGGCCATCTAGTGAGTGCCCATAGAAGGGCTGTCAGCTGGTCTAAAGTTTCCCAGGGCCATCCTCTGCCTCCCAAACCAGGAAGACCCCTCTGGAATCATGCTTGTGGATTCCATGTTCTTCTAATAGTTTGTTCAAATTTTCTGTTTTTCTTCCTGAATCCATAGGAAAACTTGAGATTTCTCTTTCAGGTTTATCTAGTGATATATCACATCCATTTCCATTTAGTTCTTTTAGCATATTCTCTGTTTTTAAACCAAAATGTTCACATAACAGCTCCCATTCCCAAGACTCTCATAAATGCCAGTAACTCTATTACTTGTGCTCACTTAAGGCTCATAAATGACCATTTTATAGCCTAAACCTAGGAGGTGTTTGACAAAGTCAGGTATAACTCTACTAATATTTCCTTACTATGTGTTTAAGGACTACTTTAATAAAATTTGATTTATGCACTTTTGGGTAGAATATCTTATCAAGTAAAAAAAGAGAAGACAAAGGGATATATGGTATGTGATGACTCAATTGGTATATGTTTCCCATCTTGTTGTCTTAGCAGCCAGGCTCTGTTCCTGACTCTGATCACAGATGAGATGATAAAGCCTCTCATTTCAATCCCAGGATCCTCCTAATTATTGTGAACCAGAACTAGGATTATGCCAACAACTGATTGGGAGTTTGCAAGCTTCTATAACCAATAATTAAAATAATTTCTATATATCCCCAACTTTTTTACTTTTCTTCATTCAAGTTTTTCTTGATCAGAAGTATTTCTCTACATACTAGGAATACAGAGAGGCTGCAATATGGGTCAGCACTTAAAGAGCTCCAAGTCTAATGAGGTGACATGTGAATTGATCAGTAGGCATGGTGAATGAGCACCATGGCACACCAGAGGAGGCAAATGATGACTCACTGTCCTCTGGGAGGTCTTAGATGTCTTCACTATGTAAGGAACATTTGAACTTGATTTTCAATGAAGACTGCCATTTACAATGAAAAGAAGAAAAGTAATTTCTTGATGAGATAGAAAAGATTGGACATGCAAAAAGGCACAGAGATGTTGGTAAGGGCAGAGTGTCCACCAAAAATTTATAAGAGCTTAAGTGCAGCTATGTGTTAGGAGAGGGAGGTAAGGACACTTGCAATTTAATATATGTAGCAACCAAAGTGTTTTCCAGGTAGTAACATGATTAAACCAGAAATCAGGCATTTTGTGTGTGGTAGGGTAATTATGGGCAAGAGTAAAAATGAAATAAGGGCCAAAGTACATTCCATATCCTTTAAGGGGCCCCTTGGAATCACATCTGCAGAGAAGTGAAAAGATATAGATACAGGGTATCTCTGAAATGAGAAGTTTAACATACCTGGGGTATCAGGCTTAGCCTGCTATCTGTTGGTGACCATGTTCACCAGATAGGGTAGTGGTTTTCACAAAAACAAAACAAAACAAAACAAAACAAAAAAACTTGCTGTGCAAGTTTTAAGCGGTTGTCCTCTATATTGTATAAAACAAATGACTCTCAATCTGGAGGTGACTTTGTCCTGTGTACATTTGACAGTATATTATGGCATTTTGGGATGTCATGACTGGTGGTAATGTATTAGTTTCCTATCCCTGCTGTAAGCATAACTACAAATTTAGTGGCTTAAAGCAAGAAAAAAATGATTACTTTATAATTCTGGTGATAAGAAATCCCAATAGCTCTCACTAACTTAAGTTCAAGTTGTTGACTGAACTGTGTTCCTTTTGAAGCTTCTAGGGTCTGTTGCCTTTCTTTTCTAGTGGCCCCCTTCCTTCATCTTCAAACTCAGCCATGCTGTGTCTCTTTGATTCTCTCTCTTACTCTCTTCAGGACTCTTGTGATTACATTGGTTTTACCTGAATAATCCAGGTCAATCTCACTATTTTAAGGCCAGCCAATTAGCAATCTTTAATTGCATATACAACTTTAATTCCCCATTGCCATGATGAACTCACAGGTTCCAGGGATTTGGTATGAACCCTTTGGTGGGACATTATTCTGTATACCACAGGGGAATAGCTGCTTCCATCTAACTGGAATGTCAAGGATGCTTTGAAACACCATGCAATGTTCAGGACAGTTCCATGAAGAATAATCACCTGGCCAATCAGTGCCAGAGCTGAGAAACTATAGTGGAGAATGGGGGTACTTGGTGATTTTTAAGTCTGAGAGTGTAAAGTGATCAGATATGTGTTTTAACAGGATCAGTCTGGTGTCTGGGGGACCATAGTTTAGAAACATGAAACAGATGGATACTCAGAGGTGGGAGGCATGGGGAGATCATGCCAAGAATCCCATTAACAAGTGGGAATTCCCATATGAACAGACGACTCTTATTTCCATGTTCTCCATTTTTGCAAATAATTTTCTTGTATTGTTGAAGCACTTGAAAGCTGAACCCTTACTCATCTTTGTATTCTTAAAAATCTGACTTATGCTCCAAGGTTTTAGACCAGTGGTAAACCTGGATAGAGTTTGTACCCCAGGGCACATATGGTAATGTCTGTTGGTACTGGGCAGAGGGT